GTTGAACTTGAAATCTCATTAGATGAGACACGAGAACAATATAATAACGTTTTACGTAGCAATAATAACAAAGCACAACAAAAGAAGATGGCATTTTTAGAAAAGAATTTAGAACAACTAACAAATGTACAAAAACAAGTAAGATATATATTTATTTACAGCAATTTTTTTCGTACACCAATTTACGCCCGGCCTAAAATTCAGGGTTAGTGCGGGCCGGAATTATGTTAATGCCAGCCAGGGTTTTTTAGTAAAAAACCCAGCCAGTATTAAAAAATTTCTGGCCTGCACTAACCCTAAATTTTAGGCTGGGCGTAAATTGGTGTACGAAATGTTATGTACGAAAAAAATTGCCGATTTATTTATTTAGTCATATAGTCATCTCTTAGATGTTAATTAGAGAATGTGATTATAATAACTATTCATAATTTTTTAAATATAGCTTGTTGAACAAAATTCATCATTAAAGAAAGAAGTGGCTATCGCTGAGCGGAAACTTCTTGCACGTAATGAACGTATTCAGGCTCTGGAAGCCTTATTGCAAGACGCACAAGAGAAACTTACCACACAGAATCAAAAGTAATAACAAAAAGAACAAGAAAGTCTTTATCATTATAAATTACTATATTAATTGCACTTCATGGTTAATAGATTCGAGGCGCAGTTACAAGCCGTACGTGAGCGATTAGAACAAGCAAGAAGTAGGTTTATAATTATTTCATATTCATTTAAATATTCAATATTTAACTCATATTTTTAATTATCTAGCTCAAAAATCTGCAGCATCATCTACACTCGCTGAACTTCCCTTTGGCCGTATTGCTAAACCTCTTCGAGGTGGTGGTCTACCCGTATTTGAATCTAATGGGTGCGACTAATATACATTTCAATTTTAATTTGATTTATTTTAATTATTATTATAATATTTTTTATTTATTTTTGCTACCTTTGTTCTCAGTTCGGATAATTGTGGAACTCTACCGTTGGTACGTTTAGGAATCGTAAATAAACTCTAGGTAGCAAACCATTAAAAAAAAAAAAAAAAAAGGGTTTTATAAAATTGTTCAGCACAGCGGTGCATTCCCTAAAACACATGATCTATTTACGTTATTTATTTCACCATTTTCACCATTCGTAGAGATTATGTAAACCTTATTATGTTTTGCGCAATGATCCTCTAAATTAGAATTAGTTAACTTTACATCTTTACTATACCTTTGCGCTACACTTTTCTTACCGTTAGAGATTATTGCTTCATTTGTACGTATGTAATATTTTTCTTTTCTTTGCATTAATGAAAGATCTGTATACAGGCTGCTTATTGCGAATCATAAGGGCTTTTTTGTAACTTAATAATAAAACGTTTCCATATTAAAAATATAATAATTTACTTTTCTATATAAAAATTATCTTAATGATAATAAATGTAGATATGTACGATTTATTATCATATGTTAAGATTTTAGATTATACAATTTTAATGCGCATCTTGATTTTTCATAACATAAATTTAAAACCGGCTTTTTTATAAAAATTTTAGAGGTAATTATCACTGCTCTATTGTAAGAATTTAGATAATTTTTTTAGTTTAATATATGTATAATTAAAATTTTGAACTTTAAATATGTAGTTTATTTTTTTTTTTTTAACAACCTATATTTTAACAACCTATAGAGAATAGATCATTGCACAAATTCTTAATCTGGACAGGTAATAGTACGAACTTCTTTTTTTTTTTTAATTTTAATAAATATAAAAAAAATATTACTAATAATCGTTAAACTGTATTTCTTGATGATTTTCAAAACACTTGCAATGTTTATTCTTGTTTGGTTGGATCTACTTACCTCGCAAATTTACTTACTCGATTACTCGATTACGTAGTGTTTAAAGATTACAGATTACAGATTACTCTATAATACAGTAATAATGAATCTATATTCTGTAATCCATTACTCGAGTAATGTTCCTTTTATCTTTACATAAAATACAATATCATACGACTTTTAATCTCCTGAGTATTTTTAAAAGTGTTCCGATTTAATTTGTATATTTATTTTTTTTAGTAATTAAAATTTTGACTTTTTTTGCTTCGAATTTTTTAATGGTCTGATGAATTGATAATCATTGATCGGCAAAGACAAAAGCGAAAGATTGTTGATCACTTCTAGATTTGTACAATATAATTTGAAAACGAGCTTGATAACTACCCTTGATAAACAATAATTAATTTTGGCTTTTATTTATTAACTGCGTATACATTTTGTTGTTGCTCACTTTCCCGAAATGCTATCTCTTCGATTCTATAATTCAAATATTCCTTTTTCCCGAGAAGACCCATTCCTGACAACTTAGTTTACCAACAGTTTATTTAGTCCGTCCGTCCAGTCTCTAATAAAACCGGTCCATTACATCTGTTTTCATTACAACTGTTTTCATGAATTCTGAAACATCTGACAAAAAGCTGACCGATTGAATATTTATCGATTCGATAGGTTCTGATTCGGTAGCGATCACTACTGAAATCATAAACTTATCGAATTGGCAATATTCAGTCGGTCAATTTTTTGCCAGACGTTTCAGAATTTTTGAAAACAGCTGCAATTTTGGAACATCTGGTAAAAAAAAAAAAAAAAAACAAGACCGAATGATTGTTTGGCCGATTCGATAAGTTATTGATCATTGTAACGTTGATTAGTAAATCGAAACTCACGTGACACCTCTATTTTCACATCCTAACCAAAGTTCCATCTCTGATCGTAACTCATGAAATACCAGTCAGGCTTTTTTTCAACAAAAGACTTAAGATATTTTATATCATACCGTACAAGTTTAGTAGACGTGGTTTTCTTACAAGCGGCATCTTTGAAATTGTTTAAGAACTCGACTTATTGAAGATCGGCTAACACTCATATGGGCTGATCAGGGCTGATTCGTGTGATATCTGCGAATAACGTGATTAAGATTTTCAAAAATTGATCAACAAA